CTTTTTACTGCGCAGTGAAATTACCAATGATTATAAATGAACTCAAAACATGCGAAACGCGACTGGGATCGCTATGATTTTTCATGTGATGAAAGAATAATGATGAAAACATTCATAAACTTAGCGAAAGGTCCATTAAATACGTTTTTGTTTGAATACTACGCTCTAGAAACAATTACAAAGGTTAGGCTTGGGGGGCCCTTTTTCCTGCCAGCTCATCGTTCGACTTCTTCTTTGTCTTAGAAATTGAATAAAGATCTGTATTCCTTTGCCTAGGAAGTTCTTATAACTATGTACTGATATTGATAAAGCAGTAGAAGGGCTGTATGATGCTTTGGCTGTTTTATTTCTTCAATTCTACGACCGAAGAGCAGGAGATGAATGAATTAAAACAAGATAGAAACCCCAATAAGCTAGTGCTTGACAAGTCATTCTCATCGTTTTGTATAGTAAATGAACAGCGAAATATATTCGTAATAAGTTGATAATGGCTATGTGAATAATGTATGCGATATATTAGCAGGATATGAAGTGTGTTTTAAATGAAGTAAATGTAATTTATCTAGTTGTTACCAAGCGAGACATTTGTGCATTTCGCGCGCGTTCGTGTTAATTATGCATTAATGTGTTCGTGCTGTTTATGCAGTAAATAGATAAATAAAGCGGACTCSTAACGCGCTTAATTTCTTAAATTTACAATTTTAAAATTAGAAATAATAATTTAGGAGTATTAAATTGATAAGAACTTTATTTCAAACTGGGATCTATTTGTTTGTGTCTCAGATTGTAATATCAATAAGCGGATCTTATAACATGAAAATTTTGTATTGCGAGTGAAAGTCACAAGAGCCGTTTGGAATTATTGCTCAAGGCGATGAATGATATCTAACTTGTTTTGCAATTTTTAATGAAAGAAACTATTWAGCGCGTATTTAGAAAGTGCCTTTTTGCTATTTAGCACCTAAACAACTCAGGGATCTCAATAAACCGCACGGTTGTTGGCAGTGGCAGGATTCTAGACCAGGTGGCAGGATACTGGACCTCCAAACCACTTTGTTAAAACTGCGATGCAAACCAAAGACAAAGGATACAAATGAAAAATTTGTTCTTATTGTGTTGCAGGATAATTGATTCATAATTTGATCGGGTTTCAATGCAGTAGCTTTTAATAAAAGGGAGTTACGGTGATTTTTAGCTGAAGTGGCAGGATACTGGGCCACACACTGTATYGGAAACCGCTGAGTAAGTTAACTGTTCGAATTTTTGATTGAAAGCCTTTTACAAAAATAATAGATTTCGTGATAAAAGCCCTAAAACTACAATTCTTTAAACATGCGCAAAACTGTGCGCAGTGCACAACTACGGAATTATCTTAACAACACGTGAAAGCTCAAGCCTATACTTTGATTTAAAAGCAGGTATGTACGGCCGCAAAAATGATCCCTGCCGCAAAAATGATCCCAAAATGTGGCAAAAATGATCCCCAGCGCAAAAAAGATCCCCACGTCACTGCAAAAATGATCCCCTGGAAATCGCGGAACCTGGACTGAATAGAGTTGTTATGACTCATGCATATT